TTTCAAGAAGCACAGGTAGACTTCGTTTTGCAAAGGTCTCACAAGCACAAAGTATTGAACCGTTCTACCAATACCTGCCCAGCAAGGGATTAAAGAGTGAACAAGCTGCAATCTGCTATTGTATGCGTCTAAAACTATTCGCCATGGGTTCAGCAGACCGTCCGGAATGCGCGGTAGCAAATTGCAGCCGGCTCCTTATCTCATTTTGCGAGCTTTTCCCATGGGACAACAGACCAGAACCAATTGCGTATCATGTTATCAGCCAAGTGGGCATGTTGGCTCTGTGCGCTGAAGAGTACCAAGTATATGGTGGGACCCACTTGATGCAATGAACCCCAACGTGTTCTACCAAGCGTCTCATACATGGTCGGCAGTGCTTGGCAACATCAGTAACTCGTGCAAAACAAGTCCTCTATCTTCATGTTCACAAAAAATAACTCCTTACAGTAAGCAAGCAATTATAGCTTCGCACGAGTGTCTGCCTATACTGCAGCATCCAATCATAATATATGTGCCATCTGACAGATTGAAGCACAAAACAGCCATGACAAATGAGCGACAACCAAATGAAAAGGGCGTCTCCAGACCAAACGACTTCCTTTCAGCCGAAGCCATTGGTCCTGCTGAGCCCCACACCTGAACACACCTTCTGTCCGAGCTCCGAGATCGATGCACCAAGCCTTTGCAAGGCATGTGGCTGCAGGTACTGAACTTCTGGATGTGTCTGTGCATGCCCGAGACTTTTACATGCATCACTCATGCATTGGCCATAAAAAGGTCTCAGGATGTGGGAACTTAGAAAGGCGGTCCTGCAAATGCGCTCAAACAGCTGTCATGTTTCTTTACTCCAGGTAAAAATCATCGAATTCGGTTAATTGATCCACAATTGGCTGGAAAACTGTGAAACCGCAGCCAGCAAGACCATGCAGTATGCAGCCATCAAGCGCCAAGCATGGAAGCACTTCAGCAAGTGAGCGCAACATCATGAAAGGCAGGCAGGCAGGCAAGCAAGCATGCAGCCAGGCAAGCAAATAAATAAGCAAATCATGCAAAGCAGCAAACAAAACAACAACTTCCCCAACCAAGCGAGCAAACATGCAAAATGCAGCAAGCAAGCCAACCAAGTATCCAATCAAGCAAAAAGCCAACCAATTAGACACAGAAACAAATAAGAAGGATTCAAGAAAAGAACCAAACAAATAAACAAACAAAAACAAAACAAAACAAAACAAACCAAACCAAACCAAACCAAACCAACCAACCAACCAACAAACAAACAAAACAAACAAACAAACAAACAAACAAACAAACAAACAAACAAACAAACAAACAAACAAACAAACACACAAACACAAACACACAAACACACAAACACACAAACAAAGCACAAATACAAACAACAAAGAACACACACACACACACACGCAGGCACACACACACTATCAGCAAGCAAGCAAGCAAGCAAAGCTTGCAAGCAGGCAGGCAGGCAGGCAGGCAGGCAGGCAGGCAGGCAAGCAGGCAGGCAGGCAGGCAGGCAAGCAAGCAAGCAAAGCAAAACAACACTCTTCGAGCAAATCACAGAAAGCAAACCGCTGGCCATCTGCTGGCCTCCAGGCCAAAGCGCTCCACATCTAGCTCTGGCTTGATTCCTGGCAGTTGACGGAGCTGACCCAAGCAAGGCACCCCGCAAATTTGTAAGAAACACCCAGAAACGAAGGGAGCACGCGGGAAAGGGACACCCTCTGCGATGTCCTTGATTGTTTATGTGATTGTTTGTTTGTTTGTTCGTTCGTTCGTTCATTTGTTTGTTAGTGTTTCATTCTTTTCGGGAACCAAAGATCGAGCCATGAACAAAAGCCCGTCTTTGAGAGGAATCCAACGCAAGTTTGTGTTGGAGGGCGGTTGGGACCCAAGTTGGCCCGTTGGCGGATCTTGTTCCGAAGCCAAAAGAACATCAAGCACTTGGAACACCGGTTTAAAAACCACTGTTGACCAGACCCGTTGATCCACAGAATCTCGAGGCTGCAGTGAGCTAAAAAGAGTGGTTGATGAGGCGGCGGCCCAGATGGCAAGTCTCCAGGTGTTCGTTGGATATGCCGCACACATGCGACTGTACTGATCGCTGACCACGCGATATGATAAACTAACAAAACCAATCAATCACATAGGCCCTGGAAAGTTTTTTCTTTTATGCGGTCAAACATGGAAATTGACCTTTTGGCTGGGAAAATAAAGGCAATGGCAATGAACTCCTTCATTTCAAAGCATCCAATTTTCAAAGGTGTGTGCGAAGGTTTATTTTGGACTCAGACGTGGTGATACTTGCAAAGGCCATGTTCATGCATCAAAGGTGTCCGCCCATTGTCCATGGGATTCGGAAGTTGATGGTTCCCTTAGACTATCCTTAAACTCCCTTCCAAATTGCGGCAAATGACAGCAGCGTGCCCAAAGGGAATCAGGTTTGAAACCTAAGCTGTGGCACATGAGAAACAGTTCTCACATCAGGCGGCCGAAATCTAAATGTTGGATGGAAAGGTCCTAGAAGGCTTCGAACTCAACGCGGAGCAGCCAGAATGGAAAGAAACGCAGCAAGTGACATCAGATCGAGTTGGGCGGTTCTAGTGGCAAAGAGCATTCATATTTGTTTGACTCTAGGGTCTGTTGCAAGTTAAGGACAAGCAAGAAGCTGTTTTGAACCAGGAACATCCCAGCTCATGCTCTCAGATTCAACCGCCCAAGTGTTCCGGGTGTTCCCAAAATAAGAAACCCCCTCCTAATGGAATTTTCATCAACATCGCCTTGACCATCGCCCGTCTCAAACGAGTTCTCTATCTTTGGAAACACCCTGGATATCATGGGATCTCTGCGGAGAAAAGCTCCGCCGCGCCTACAATTCGCATTCCAGCAGGCGACTGGCCGAGTCGTCGTGCCTGAACTGCTTTGGAACAGAGCACGGCCATGATACGAAGCCAAGTGATTCATAACATCAGGCCGTTTGGCTTGGCAACTTGCTTCCCCTGAGGACCCAAACCCTGGCACATTGCTCCAACTGCTGAAGCAAACCTTCGCAAGACATGCCACAAATAGAAACACGCAAACCCCATGTGCCCAATTCGATCATTGCACTGGACCGCGAGAAATCGCTGCCTCTTTCCAAGGAGCCATTCAATTCCATCTTTAGCATTGGACAGTAGCTTGATAGGACAACGGTAGCAGGGGAAGGGATCAGACCTGTGGCAACGCAAACCGAGTAGCTTCAAAGCGAGAACCTCAAATTACGCAAAGGTTCATACCGCGGACCAGCTGATGCAACCGTGGCATCCTGCATCTGATTCAGAACCCAAAAAGACCAAAGAACGCGGAAGCTCCAGGCAATTCACATGGCGGCAGCTTTCATGCCCAAACTCTGCCAGGCAGTACCAAGAACTCACACATATCCACATACTCACCCATACCAATATCACAATATACACCCTCCCCGCATATAACCCTCGCCTGCTTCAAAGCCTCCTGCTTGGTGGCTTGGATGCTCCCCTGCACGGGTGAGCTCGCTCCACCCTTCGAGCGCATTGCTATTTGAGAGGAAACTCAGAAGTTCCAGCGAGTTGCAGACATAAAGTGCAGCTCCCTCGATTCGTGTGCAGCCCAATGACTCACCGCAGATGAAGCGAACATCCACGACACTCTTCATGACATGAAGACAATGAAGAAACACATGTGGCGTGGTAGAAGCGCACGACACCACAGTGCAGGATTCTTACCATTCGCCCAAAAGCTAGCTTTGTTCCGAGAAGCAAATCCGCGCTGCATGCAAGCTGAAGTTCACCAAATGCTTACCAGTCATTGTCATTCCGGAACATTCAGCCCTTCATGTCGTCTGCGAGTATGAGTTCCCACTGCGGGTGATTGGATTATGCCTTCCTTCAAAGCAGCGAAGTGATATGATCCAACATGTTTCTGCCAAATGGAGCCGTGCCAAGCCAAACTGCCGTGGTTTGGACTCAAGTAGGCCAACTGGCTACCATTGCGTGGGTATCTCTTGAGAATCCACCTGCTTGATCTGGGGGTCTGCTTCACTCAACTTCCTGGAAACCCTTTCCACATGGACTCCTTATGCCAAGCTCCCCAGTTTCTGAGTCAGCTGGTTCTGCCCCTTACCATGCACTTGACCAAACCTTCGCACCTCGTCGCACCCTCGGAAACCGCATGCGACCCTGGAACTAAGAAACCTGCCCGTGTCGAGGGGACTGGCAAGTGCAACTCGGGGCGGCCTGCAAAGAAAACTGCCTGGTACCGCTGAAAAATTATGTTGTGAAACACATGGCAGGTTGCCACCGACTCTGGCCAACAAATGCCGACGGCCAACGGGCCCTGCCTGTATGCCATGGAGGTAGCCTGCCTTCACACAGGCGTAGCTGCTGTAGGTGTTGTCCTGGGCTTCAACGGAGGGCGGGTTTCTCTCCCCGGAAGTCATCTGCATGGTTTCCAGAAAAGGGCCGTGGCCCTAAGTTCCTGGGACGTGCTGGAGGTCGCGCGAGGTCCGGAGGTCGCGGGAGATTCTTTTCATCTGAGCCATCCGAAAGGGTGTCCCAAGTTTTGGACAGCATGTGTTTTGGTTACAATAGGACCAACCAAAGACACAATGAGGCCAGGTTCGCCAACATTCGGCAAAAAAGGCCCGCAACTGGCTGTTCACCAATCAGGATGCCGCTTGCCAGTGCGAAGTGATTCTCTGAATGATCAGCCAGAGCTTCTCCTTCAGAACTTCAGCCCGCTGACATGGAAGCAGACAAAAGGCCTCTTCAAACGAACACATCGGCAAGTTGCCACGCGGTCCCCCCGCGGACGGCTTGTTGGCTATTCTTTGCCGAATCATGGGTCTGTGAAGAGGGGCACGATTGGGCTGCCCATCCACGCTGACCATCCCAGGAGCACTATTGGGTCTGTGCAAAGGGGCCCCCCCATTGACCCATCCCGGCGACTGGCGACTGCCAGTGGGGTCAGCCACACGCTGAGAGCCCGGCGGTGAGGTAGATGTCCAGCGCGCCCTGCAGGCCCAAGGCCTGGGGGATGTTGCTGGAGAGCACCATGCCCGGCACTGCGCCGCGGCCTCAGCGCAAATATGGTCCCCCCAAGGCAAACGATCCCAGCCCAAACCTCTGGTTTGACAAAGAGTGCAACACCTGATGATTGAAATCGTCAGCTTAGGGCTTAGGGGGAATGAATATAGTTGGCCAGGCAAAGTAGGCGCCGCTATCCTTCATCTCATATGTTGGTGAAAGAAATGGCCAGGCATTGTGGCAAATGTGTCTCGCCTACTGCGCAGGCAAACAACGGCCTGTCCAAGTGCGCAGCTAAGATTGCCGAAGCACGCTGATGCCTGCAAATGCTTGTCAAGTTGCAGCCACTTGACGGAGACGCAAATTGTGCAGATGTGGGCGTGTCTCAAAATAGGGGGCTTTCTGAAATGCTGGTTTTCCTTTGGTTGGACTTCAAACCTTGAAAAGGGTACCCTCGCGCGCTCGTCAACTGGGCCTTGTTGTCGGCAAAGCGAACTGGATTGTTCAAGGAGTAGGCGACTCCTCCGCCCACCAGCGAGCCTCAGCTCCATGCGTTTTGTTCATGTGCAGTGAAACTCCCCAAACGTCGGTTTGCGAATTTTGAGGGTACCCCCTTTTAGAGTGGCTTCAAAGGAGCAGCAAAAGGAAGCTAGCTCAGCTTGGTATCCACTATGTTAAGGCACACCCAAGCTTCCTGTGGAGGGTTCCGCTTTCACTTTGGCTTTAAGGAAAACCGGAATGGAAACCAATCATGTTTGGGGTCCCCCTGTTCTGCCACGCACCGAAATGTACCGCGGGTAAAACTCAGAGAATAGCCATGGTCATGGCTCCTTGACTGGGATTCCTGATGCCAATAGATTCATCCAAAAAAGCATCTCTGGCGCCAAGTAAGCTGGTCTTTTGAGCGCACAAATGACTTCGGTTCAGAAATGGTTTTCATGCCTTGGCAGGGCGGTCTTGTGACCTTGGAGCGTTCTCCAAACCAACTCGGTGGACTTGCCTGAGGGCACTTGAGAACAGTTTTCCTGCAACTTGGACACGCATGGCAGCGGTCTGCCGCACACCGAGAGATGGACGCCATATCTACTCTGCTCGCTTGTGTCCACAAGTACCAACAGTGTTGATATTAAGCACTTGGAGAAGCTGATAAACTTCGGGCGAGATGCATCTTGCAAGTCTCAAGCCATCAAACAGCGGGTGATGACGAGCCTCACTTCTGCAGCCTGTCAGCCGAATCCTGTTGCAGTGGTGGATCTGGGTGAATGCAGCAGTTAGCTGCTACGGGTGCTGACGCCGAAAAAGTAAAACCCCTGTGCGCAGAATATACGCACTGCCGTTGTAGATTCTGCCTGTTGCGGGAACTTCTTCGTGACAACTCACACCTGGGTGTGTTTTAAGACTACAGACGCCTGTTCTCTGCTGAGTTGACAGGCTCTTAACTCAGCGGAAGAAATCGGCCAACACAAAATTCGGAACAACATGCCACCTCAACACCCAGAGTGGAAGCCAAGCAATAGAATCAGAATCACTAGTCTTAGTTCCTGATTCATCGGCTCCAAGCTGTCTGCGCCGATCCCATGCTTGGGCTCCGGCCGTGCAATGCGCAAATACCAGGCAGGCCCATCCTGCCGGAAGCGACACGAGACGAGGCCCACTTGACAGCTGGTGACTCAGCCAAATGCCTCGGATTCTGAGACTCTGAGATGCCAGGTCCAAGCTCTGGACAAGCAGAAATAGGAACAGCAACTGACCTCAAAACCCTTTTCATGACATGCTCCCAACTTCAGACACCTCAAGGGGAAGGGGAACGGGGGCTCCAGAACGGGTCGCTAAAGGATGCTAGAGCCTCCCAATCCTCTCGCTGAGGCCCGCACTCTCGGCACCGAATGAAGGGTAGGTATCCAGCATACCTTACGCGCGAGCGCTTGCGAAGCCCTCCGACCAGTTGGTGACCTCACGGATCTGGAAACTGTCGCGTGCTGAGTTGGCATTGACATCAACGTCCAGAAGGACAGCTCTGGCAATTGGCCATGAGCACGCATGTTCATGGCACCCGAATAGGCTCCGAGAATAGCGGTGAATATCCTGAGACGAAACCACCATATTGTGTAATCCAGGTTTCCTATGTGTGAACGGACCCCAATAATAGAAAAGTCCAGCCGACCCCAAAATTGCCAATACGAATTTCAAATTACCAAATACTAAACCAATACTAAATTCTCCAGAAACCCGGTTGATTTCAGCCAAGCTCGCCGGATGTACTTCTTAGGGGCCACCCGAGCAATGATAGGGCCTTGTGTCAGGTTCTGTTCTTAGGTCTCCAACAGGTTCCCTTCATGAGGTCCTCCCAAGTAGTATTCTGTTTTCTTTTGCTCTCAAACCCAAGGGTTGCCTTGTGCGAGAGGCCATTATCAGGGTCTCCATTAGGTTCAATAGGCTTCATAACGTCTTGCTCAAAAGCTGTATTCTGAGCGTTTCTTTCTTTGAAGCTACAGGGACGCCTTGCGTCAGCGGCTTTGTTAGTAGTTTTGTGTTGAAACAAGGCGCCTTCCCTTCGAAAGTTCTTACCCGAACGTTGCATTCCCTTTTCTGTTGAATTCAAAGGGGTCCCCTTTCCAATTTGACCCCAATAACCCGATACTAAGCAACGCAGTCCGAAACAGTTCTGGCCAACAATAATGTTTGGGGGGGGGCTGGCAAGGGAACTGTTTCATACTAGGGAGACCGGATTACTTGAACATTGTCCAGGGTGTATGTGTGCTGGGCGTTTGTGCGTGTGTCTGTGTGTCTGTGTGTGTCTGTGTGTGTGTGTCGGTGTGTCTGTGTGTCTGTGTGTCTCTGTGTCTCTGTGTCTCTGTGTCTCTGTGTGTGTCTCTGTGTGTCTCCGTGTGTGTGTGTCTGTGTGTGTGTGTCTGTGTAGTCTGTGTGTGTCTGTGTGTATCTGTGCGTGTGTGTGTGTGTGTGTGTCTGTGTGTCTGTGCTTGTGTGTGGGTGCGTCTGTGTGTGTGCGCGCGTTTGTGTGTGTGTTGGTGTGTGTGTGTGTGTGTTGGTGTGTGTGTGTGTGCGTTGGCGTGTGTGTGTGTGTGTGTTGGTGTGTGTGTGTGTGTGTTGGTGTGTGTGTGTGTGTGTTGGTGTGTGTGTGTGTTGGTGTGTGTGTGTGTGTTGGTCTGTGTGTGTTGGTGTGTGTGTGTGTGTTGGCGTGTGTGTGTGTGTGTGTGTTGGTGTGTGTGTGTGTTGGCGTGTGTGTGTGTGTGTGTTGGTGTGTGTGTGTGTGTTGGTGTGTGTGTGTGTTGGTGTGTGTGTGTGTGTTGGTGTGTGTGTGTTGGTGTGTGTGTGTGTTGGTGTGTGTGTGTGTTGGTGTGTGTGTGTGTGTGTGTTGGTGTGCGTGTGTGTGTGTGGGTGTGTGTGTGTTGTGTGTGTGTGTTGGTGTGTGTGTGTGTTGGTGTGTGTGTGTGTGTTGGTGTGTGTGTGTGTGTGTGTTGGTGTGTGTGTGTTGGTCTGTGTGTGTGTTGGTCTGTGTGTGTTGGTGTGTGTGTGTGTTGGCGTGTGTGTGTGTGTTGGTGTGTGTGTGTGTTGGTGTGCGTGTGTGTTGGTGTGTGTGTGTGTGTTGGTGTGTGTGTGTGTGTGCGTGTTGGTGTGTGTGTGTGTTGGTGTGTGTGTGTGTGTTGGTCTGTATGTGTTGGTGTGTGTGTGTGTGTGTTGGCGTGTGTGTGTGTGTTGGTGTGTGTGTTGGTGTGTGTGTGTGTTGGTGTGTGTGTTGGTGTGTGTGTTGGTGTGTGTGTTGGTGTGTGTGTTGGTGTGTGTGTGTGTGTGTTGTGTGTGTGTGTGTGTGTGTGTGTGTGTGTTGGTGTGTGTGTTGGTGTGTGTGTTGGTGTGTGTGTTGGTGTGTGTGTTGTGTGTGTGTGTGTGTGTGTGTGTGTGTGTGTGTGTGTGTGTGTGTGTGTGTGTGTGTGTGTGTGTGTGTGTGTGTGTGTGTGTGTGTGTGTGTGTGTGTGTGTGTGTGTGTGTGTGTGTGTGTGTGTGTGTGTGTGTGTGTGTGTGTGTGTGTGTGTGTGTGTGTGTGTGTGGTGTGTTGGTGTCTGTGTGTGTGTTGGTGTGTGTGTGTGTTGGTGTGCGTGTGTGTGTGTGTGTGTTGGTGTGTGTGTGTGTGTGTTGGTGTGTGTTGGTGTGTTGGTGTGTGTGTGTGTTGGTGTGTGTGTGTGTGTGTTGGTGTGTGTGTGTGTGTGTTGGTCTGTATGTGTTGGTGTGTGTGTGTGTGTTGGTCTGTATGTGTTGGTGTGTGTGTGTGTTGGCGTGTGTGTGTGTGTGTGTGTTGGTGTGTTGGTGTGTGTGTGTTGGTGTGTGTGTGTGTTGGTGTGTGTGTGTGTGTTGGTGTGTGTTGGTGTGTTGGTGTGTTGGTGTGTTGCTGTGTTGGTGTGTTGGTGTGTCGGTGTGTTGGTGTGTGTGTGTGTGTCGGTGTGTGTGTGTGTGTGTCGGTGTGTGTCGGTGTGTGTGTGTGCGCGCTCGCGTGCCTGTGTGTGTGTGTGCGTTTGTGTGGGTGGGTGGGTGGGTGGGTGGGTGGGTGGGTGGGTGGGGGTGGGTGGGTGGGTGGGTGGGTGGGTGTGGGTGGGGTGGGTGGGTGGGTGGGTGGGTGGGTGGGTGGGTGGGTGGGTGTGGTGGTGTGGGTGGGTGGGTGGGTGGGTGGGTGGGTGGGTGGGTGGGTGGGTGGGTGGGTGGGTGGGTGGGTGGGTGGGTGGGTGGGTGGGTGGGTGGGTGGGTGGGTGGGTGGGTGGGTGGGTGGGTGGGTGGGTGGGTGGGTGGGTGGGTGGGTGGGTGGGTGGGTGGGTGGGTGGGTGGGTGGGTGGGTCCTTGCGTGCGTGCATGCTTTCCCATCTTGCAAGGGAACTCGAGCTGCTTCGTGTTGAGTGAGCCGCATCCCATATGCAACTCAAGAACAGCTTCAACCATGTCAGCCAAATTCACCCTCAAGCAACACTAGTTTCAAGATACCGAGCCCTCTCAGATTCGTTTGCTGCAGGCATCAATCATGGAACTGTGTTGCTTAGCAAACCAAGGTGAGTGACAAGTCAGAATGGCAGGCAACACCCGGCCTGTTTTTTTGGCTGACATCCCGATGTTTGCTGCTTTGCTGGCTGGATGGATGCGGCAAAGATCCTGAATTTTGACAAAGCCACTGATTGACAGTGAGGGCAATGTGGCCCGGGTAGAGCTTGGGGTTAGGATTTCCACCTGCGTGCAGAAAGCCCTACACTGCCTCAGCCAAGCTTCACGGATTGATCAGGCAAAACGTCGGTTTGCATTGAGCAAGACCCGCGGTAGCCACAGCGATTTAGGGCAAAGCAGTACCCCGCACACACCGAAAGCCAGCAGCCTCATCCAAAAAGGAGATCCACCCTGCTTCTGTCACAGGAGGTGTTTGCGCAGCTGACGAGCCTGGGCAGAAATGAGGACCTGAGCCCTGGATCACATATGCCAAGGGCTGCCCAGTCATCATCCTCAGATTGGCAAAGGTTGCAGCATTGGATGAGATAATAGATCCCCTTCTTCCAGTGCCTATGGCCCCAAAGTGTCTGGCTACCGACATCTCCAAAAACATCTGCACCCATTCCCCACATGTCCCTTATGCCCCCGTCAAGTGTGAACTGCCAGGACGGGCTGAGAGCCGGCAGTTAAGTAAGCAGGGGCGGTCAGGTTCTACTGCCTCAAGAACTCCTCATGCGCCTTTGGAGTGCCTGCTGCTGCGTCGACACAAGGAACGCGTAGAGAGCTCTGCCTCTCGCAAGCAGCCCGGGGCCCCGTGCTTCGGGCTCTTCAGGAGCTGGACAACCTCACTCTTCTTTAGTGAGGATGCGGATGCAACCAGCACACGCACTGTGCGCAACAACTTCTTTGGATGGGAGTCGTCTCAGCGTGACATTCTTGGGTAGTTGGAATCTAACTCATGAGATGCTTTGCCGCAAAGCAATCTGACGACGCAATTGCGACAAAAAAGCCGCTCTGTGTTTTGACAAGTGATACAAGCAACTTGAGCAGACCACTTAACAAGCTGCAGTCAGTTGCAGTTGACTTGGTTTGGCCTTGTCTCATATTACCAATGGTGGGGCCCTTTCAAGGCCCCCCTAACGGTTAGGACAGCTATGAACAGCTGGATTGCATAGTAAGGCCCCCAAACTACAAAGACTCAGGGGCTCCGCACAGCATCCATGCCGAAAAGGATATCCTGGGAGGTATCTGGATCCATCCTGGAGAGCCGCATTGATGCTCAAGCTCCAGCTCCCTCACAGCAACTGTTGCACTTCCATTTGCTTGAGCCCCCTGGAAAAATAAAAAAAAATCCAGTAGTGATCGATTCCTTTTTAACACCAAAAGCAAAACATATAAACAAAACACTTAAAAAAAAGGAAGTGCATTGAACGACATTCAATGCCAGAAATCCCAACTCAATGCTGCCTAGCACAGCCGCTACACATTTCTACTTGAGTTTTTGCGGCACCACGTGTCCGTGCCGCTGGGGCGCTCGTCTACCTTTTGTCTCTTATGGCTCTTCGTTGACATGGACTATCCAAATTCCAACAACAAAATGTGCCGGTTCATGGCAGATTGCTACGTACCCAACTTATCCCTCCGTGCCTACCTTCTGACATGCTATGCTGCTTCCGAAATTATGGAAAGCAATGCCAATATTATGATCACGCAGTTTGTTTTTTCCTTATGTCAGGTATCACGTTCCCATACTACATGACAAACGCAGCCAGTTTATTCCACATGTCAGAAAAGTCCACGTCTCGCACGGTAAGTTCGGCCAGGCAGACATGTTGAAGGTGGCCTGCGCATTCAACTCCTCGCGGCAAGGCCGTCTGACCACTAGCTGATTTGAAGAAATGCACTGCACACCTCGCCAAAGCCACGGAGTGTGTACCTGCTGATTGTTTGGGACGCTGTGTCACAGCCTTGAGAAGTGCAACGCACGGCTGAGGAACAGCCATCAGCAAGCAACATGAAGAATGAAAACAACTACATTCGGTACTTTGGCACCATCTCTGATCCCAGCCAAAAAGAGAAGCAGCTTGAAAGGGCCCCAGCAATTCAGTGTTTACATGCTCGAAAAATGCGCGGTGTCACAGGTGCGGTGTGAAAAGGTCAAACCTCATGTGAATCCAGATGCTGAGAAGATGATTCGAACGTCTGAGGAACTTAACCTATAGTGGCTATGCCCAAGAAAGCTAGTCTCTGTGATTCGAGCAACACCATATTCTGGGCACACTTGTGGTGCAGCAGGCGTATGCGTATTGATATTCGCCCATCTTCACACACTTCCATACCAGGTGTATCTATGATGCAATCTGGACTCAACTTGTCGCCGGATTCTTGCCATGACCTTAAACGCGCGACAGCGGACCGCTCCAAAAGCAGCACGGGAGGAGTTGTCTGCGTGACAAGCACTCGGTGCCGGGAGTCTTCCGGGCAGTCAGGACCTTGGCGTGATCATGCCCCGCCATCTCCGCAGGCGTGCCAACAACAAACAAAATGCATGTGGATGCTTCGCACGTTCGCAAAGGTCGCTCTGCCACGCTGCCCCTAACATGCGGCCAATCTGATGGTCAAACAGATCCGATGCTCAGATCGTGCGTGCATGGCTACAAGGAAAACGAAGCCCAAAAAGTCAAAGTTCACACCAAGTGCCCGGCCGTACTGGACGGTGTTGACGGGCTTGGCAGAGATGCCCCACATCAAAGCCTGACCTGGTCCCATGGTGCAGATCTTGTTGTACCTGGCGAAATCTGAAGCTGCCTCTTGGGCATGCCAGCATCCACCTGAGGCTCTCCTTAAACTTAATTGACATGGAACTCAACACACACTCCCAGGTTTGAAAGAATTCCACTTTTGGGGGATCTCCTCCAAAGGTTTCATGTCAGTGAATCTGCGGAACATGTGAGGGCAATTCACAAATCGCACTGCCAATCTGTCACATCGTGTGGCTAAACGTTCTGTGCCGAACGGGTACGGCATTCAAAGCGAAAGGGAACCGTTCCAATGCCCATCGGACACACCGGTTCGCTCTTGATCTGTGCTGAAGGTGCAATGGTGTCCGAATTTGCAGGTAAGAAGCGGACACCACCCCACTTTGGGGGGGGGTTCCCGCATTTGGAACACTAGCGCAAGGCAACTTGTGCTTAGACTCCACAGGAATCACACTTAAATTAGGTTGGTTTGAGACACGGAAGGCCCTGATACAGCAGCTGTGAAACCCGGCGTGAATGTCTTGGGAAGCCGCTCTGTCTGTGCTTTGACAGCTAGAATGAGAAAACGACAAGCACAACAAGCATTCATTCATTGTATTTGTAGTGGCCGAACCCGGCTGAAACTAGCTTCCAGCTTGCAAGACCTGCATGCTTGTTATTTCTCAAAGTAGGCAATATGTCTGCCAGCAGTGTGATGAGCTAGGCTGGCTGGCAACATCTTTGACCCTTCTTGCAGCGCAACTGCTGGAAGCCAACCCGGGCTGTGCATCCAGGACTCAAAAAACTCATGATGGGTTCAAGGTGCTTGATGAAAGTCTACCAAGGGGGTCCCAAACTTTAGGCCAAAGCGGTGCTGAGCCTCCCAGTTCCATGCGCGCGCCTTTGGGGCAGCAGGTGGGTGCCTAGGAGCGCCTCAGACTATGCAAGTTGCAGGAGTACCAGTTGTATGTCCCGCTCCACAACGACACCATGGCCTTTGGGCCGTAAAACTGTACTTGTTTATTTGTGAAACATCAGGACCCTCAACCTACAAAGAGACGGCCGGAAAAGACCAGTGTCGCAGCCCCGTCTCTACCCCTACTCAAAACAAAGGTCATGTGCCCTCAAATGGGTATGTGTCAAAATTAGGGATGGCTTGCCTTAAACCAAGGGGCAGAGGGGGTCCGCCCGCCTACAAGTATGAATAAATGCACCCTATCAATATATGATATATGTATATAATATGTATACATACCGTGCGATTTTGCCAGACCCATTCTGAACGTGCAAATTTCCCGTCGACCGCAACTCCAGTCTTGTACTTACATATCTGCTGGTTGAAATCCTTACACGGAAACTAGGATGTTAAACGATGATTGAGACCGTATGCCTTCTTCGAGAAAGAGGACCACCCTCAAAACACACACACACACACACAGACACACACACACACAAACACAACACAAACACAAAACACAAACACAAACACAAACACAAACACAAACACAAACACGCACACACCCACACGCACCCACACGCACACACACACACACCCACCCACCCACCCACCCACCCACCCACGCACGCACGCACGCACGCACGCACGCAAGGCACGCAAGGCACGCAAGGCACGCAAGGCACGCAAGGCACGCAAGGCACGCAAGGCACGCAAGGCACGCAAGGCACGCAGGCACGCAGGCACGCAGGCACGCAGGAACGCAGGCAGGCAGGCAGGCAGGCAGGCAGGCAGGCAGGCACGCACGCACGCACGCACGAACGCGCACACACACACACACACACACACACGCACGCACGCACGCACGCACGCACGCACGCGCACACACACACACACACACACGCACGCACGCACGCACGCACGCACACACGCAAGCACGCACCCACACACCCACCCACCCACGCAACCACACACGCACGCACACACACACACACACACACACACACACACACACACACACACACACACACACACACACACACACACACACACACACACACACACACACACACACACACACACACACACACACACACACACACACACACACGCACACAGTTAGCCGCACGGGACAACACACGCCCGCACGCGCCGCCACCCCGCGCCGCCGCACGCACGCACGCACGCACGCACGCACGCACGCACGCACGCACGCACGCACGCACGCACGCACGCACGCACGCACGCACGCACGCACGCACGCACGCACGCACGCACGCACGCACGCACGCACGCACGCACGCACGCACGCACGCACGCACGCACGCACGCACGCACGCACGCACGCACGCACGCACGCACGCACGCACGCACGCACGCACGCGCGCGCACGCACGCCCACGCACGCGCACGCACGCTCGCACGCACGCACGCGTGCACGCACGCACGCATGCACGCACGCACGCACACGCACCCATTCAAACAATCAAGCAAGCAAGCAAGCAAGCAAAAGAAAGAAAGAAAACTAGACCACGGTTGGCCCGAAAGCAGAACATCGCAAGCGAGGTCGGCCCAACGCTGCAGGATGCGTTCTTTTTCCCTACACTTCGTGAAGCAAGCGCGAGACAGCACCAGGCAAGGTGCTCTGCGCAAACTGGTCGGTGCAAGTTGGTCTGCGCAAGTTGCTCTACGCAAGTTGCACTGTGCAAGTTGCTCTGCGCAAGTTGCTCCGCGCAAGTTGCTCCGGCAAGTTGGTCCCTGCAAGTGGCTCCCTGCAAGTTGCTCTGTGCAAATTGCGCTCCCTGCAAGTTGCTCTGTGCAAGTTGCTCTGTGCAAGTTGCTCTGCGTAAGTTGCTCTGCGCAAGTTGCTCTAGGCAAGGCGCTCTGCGCAAACTGGTCGGTGCAAGTTGGTCTGCGCAAGTTGCTCTGTGCAACTTGCTCTGCGCAAGTTGCTCTGCGCAAGTTGCTTTAAAATGCAAGTTGCATCTTGCGACGCCCGCCCGCGGACCAGGGAGGAATCGAACCCGCGACCCGCCGGTTCCGGGAGCAGGCGCGCGAACCACGAGACAACTCCCGAGGACCAGTTCGAACAACAAAAGTCGCAAAAAACCTTGAGTTTTTGCACCTCGACCACGCCGATTCCCGCAGAGAGTTGCGCGAGCACCGCAGAAATCGCAAAAAAACTTGGGTTTTTGCACCTCGACCACGCCGATCCCCGCAGAGGGTCGCGCGAGCAGGTTAGAAATCGCAAAAAACCATGGGTTTTTGCACCTCGACCACGCCGATCCCCGCAGAGGGTCGCGCGAGCACCGCAGAAATCGCAAAAAACCATGGGTTTTTGCACCTCGACCACGCCGATCCCCGCAGAGGGTCGCGCGAGCAGGTTAGAAATCGCAAAAAACCATGGGTTTTTGCACCTCGACCACGCCGATCCCCGCAGAGGGTCGCGCGAGCACCGCAGAAATCGCAAAAAACCATGGGTTTTTGCACCTCGACCACGCCGATCCCCGCAGAGGGTCGATTTTCGTGTAGTGTCGTCGGCACTACCCCGCCGCCCTAAGAAGAGATTTTAACTCCTCGCAAGTCAATTGCACTTGACTCCTTGCACTTGCAACTTGCACTTGACTCCTTGCTTGTTTCAAGGAGTCATTGCAAGGAGTCATTGCAAGGAGTCATTGCAAGGAGTCATGAGAGCCATTGCAAGTTGCAAGGAGCCAAGTGCATGGAGTCAAGTGCAAGTCGCAAGTGCACGGAGTTAAGTGCAAGTGCAAGTGCAAGGAGCCAAGTGCAAGGAGCCAAGTGCAAGGAGCCAAGTGCATGGAGTCAAGTGCAAGTTGCAAGTGCAAGTCAAGTGCAAGTTGCAAGTGCAGGAGTCAAGTGCAAGTTGTGCAAGTGCAAGTGCAAGTTGCAAACAATGTGCAATGACTCCTTGCAATGACTCCTTGCAATGACTCCTTGCAATGACTCCTTGCAATGACTCCTTGCAATGACTCCTTGCATTGACTTTCATGATGATGATTCCTTGCAATGACACCTTGCAATGACTCTCATGAGAACAATTCAAGTGAACCCAGCGGAAGAACCCTTCGCCATGCTTTCGGGAAAACAAAAGAAAAAAAGAAAGAAAGAAAGAAATAATTAAAGAAATAAAGAAAGAAAGAACAAACACAAAACAAAACAAAACAAAACAAAACAAACAAACAAACAAACAAATAAACAAACAAACAAACAAACAAACAGAGAAACAGAGAAACAGACAAGCAAACACACACACACACACACACGCCTAAATTTGCCTGAGATGAACATCATCCGTGTTCAAGTTGCCCTACAGTCAAAACCCGCATGTGATGTGTCAAAAGGGACCGTTCCGTTGGTACCGTCCTGCGAAGCCCAAAGGAAACCTGCAACCTGCTGATTGAATCTCCTTTCCTGGGAAACCAAAAAAAAACATGCTGATTGAATCTCCTTACCCGTTTGGGGACAGGGACCCCCCAAAAAAAACATGAGTGTTTTTTCCATGCGTCACATGTTGAGACGATGGATCAGGCGCGGGCCCGGCGCCCCTTCTCCGGCGCAGTCCAGGGCCTTGCTCATATGGGATGCACGGCATGATGTCCATGTGGCCATGGGTCAAAATCCAAATCGTCCCAGTGAACATCCCAATCCCCACTAAAATACCTCCTGGAAGCGATGGGCGGGCTTAAAATTGCGGAACCCATCCTTCTGGTTGGTTGCCTTTTGGTGACCTTTTGGAACCGTCCCAAAACGGGTTCCCCTATTTTGAGACAGACCCTTATTAGCATGCCTTGGAAACCCTAACAATTGCCTTCACGGGAGGGAGGTCCTGTTTTGCAAAGCCTCCAACCTGACCCAACATCAACGACCCAGGTGTGTGGTTCCTGCACCAATCCAAGCCAGGACAAACGTGTAGCCAAGCTTGCGGAATGAAACCGCTTGAATGCATTCCTCTGTCACGGCTTGGGTCCAGACTCATGCTCAGCCGCAGGTGCCTTGAAGGCTATCCGTTGGCTTGAGATTTGAAGGGTTTGTGGAATGATGCAGGGCGCCAACAT